CGGCATCAGGGCCCATGCAGCGCAATGGCCTCTTAATCGGATTTGCCAGCCCTCGGTCGTCGTATAAGAGTATCCCACGAGGTGCTTCCTAACCTTCACCCTCGCCCCCTCCCTCTCCCCCTCCCTTTCTCCCTCCCTCCCTCCCTCTCTCCCTCCCTCCCTCCCTCCCTTTCTTTTTCCTGCGTTTCCAGGCTCCCCCCCGTGGCAGGGCTTCGACCACCGCACGGTGCAGCTGTGCGCCTGCGTGCAGAAGATGGTGCGCAGCGAGACGGCCTCTGCGGGGGTCATGTTTACCCTGGACACCGAGGACCGTGCGAGGGTGGGCGGGAGCGAGGGACGGGGAGGGAGGGATGGACAGGGCTCGTTTTGATTCCTTCGATCCGATTCGATTTGATTTCGATGGATTCCGATTTCGATTCGATTCGGTTTCCGATTTAGATTCCAGTTCCTCAATGAGGCATTACTTCTCTGCCGATTTCCGCCAATTCGACTCCTCCCGACTTAGCTGCCGATTTCCGCCGATCCGAATGCTTTCGATCGCCGATTGGACTTATCGATTCGATTTTGGGCTATCTTGGAGGGAGGGAGGGAGGAGGGTAAGAAGTCTGTGTGGATGGCTCAGGCTTAACAGCAGTGCCTTGTATTTGGCACGTGCAGAAGATGGGCGATGCCAGCATGCCAACGGCTAGTGCCTTCGGACCTTTCCCTCATCCTGTCCTAGAGGCGGGGGCTGGTAAACGGTATGCCCTCCTCGTGGCCCACTCTTGTAGGCTTGGCTCTTCAGATTCAGGTGTACGCGGACTTTCTGGCTGTCCTTGACGTTTGGGCCCGTGGACCAGATTCAGATTCCTCTCGCTTCGCGGGGGTGCACGTCTGGACCACGCACAGTCCAGTTGTTGCGGGGCCTCTTGGGAGCTTCTTTGTGGCCTCTTGGAGGTGTCTTGGGTGGGGGCTTCCTGGGGCCTCTTGGGGGCGTCTTGGGCCGTCTTGGGGCGCTCTTGTGGCGTGTGGCCCATTCGGAGGCCGTCCTGGGGGTCCCTCGCGGCCGTTTTGGGGCTTTCTTGGGGTCCAGTTGAGTTGGGCCGTCTGCTTGGGCCGTCGTGGAGGCCTTTCGAGGGCTTCTTAGGCCGTCTTGGGGCCATTTTGGAGGCTGCTTGGGCCGTCATGGGTTTCTGAGAGGCGAAAAAGGCGAGAACGCTAAATTCCTTCAAAACCCCTATGGAATATCGATGGTTTTGGCCTCTGGGGGCGCTCTTGGGGGTCCTCTTGAGGCCGTCTTGGGCCGTCTTGAGCGCTTCTTGGGTCCTCTTGGGGCCATCTTGAGCCGTCTTTGGGCCGTCTTGGCTTGTATTGAGGCCATCTTGAGCCGTCGTCACGGCCTCTGAGACAGAGGCCCAGGAGGCCCAACTCATTGACTTTCAATGTTTTTTTTCGTGGATGTGTCCAGCAGAGGTCCGCCACCCCTGGGTCGGTGGATGCGGGGTGGCTTCGGGGGGGGGGTGAAGGGGGGAGACATAACTATGTCACATAATACGATATGTAGCAAGTATGCAATCAGTGGATGCGTTGGATACGTTGCATTAGGGCTTCCGCTCCGCTGCCCGACCTGCCTCCGTTATCGAGGGCGATGAGGGAAGCGGCGGCCCCATCTTCCCTCCCAGCGCCGGCTTTACTCATGGGCGCCGCCGTGACTGACTTCCATGTGACAGGGGCTTCGCCGTGGTTCGCCCAGGAGAAAAAAGCAATACAATCCAGACGTTGTGCGGCCTTTTGGGCGCCTCTGTGAGCCCTTTGGGAGGCTTCTTGGGGATTTCCTGGAGGCCTCTTGTGGGCTTCTTGGGGCCCCTAGGGGGCCTCTTTAGGAGAAAAAGCGAGAAAAAAGCAAAACACTCCAGTCGTTGTGCGGCTTTTTGGACGCTTCTTTGAGGCCTTTGGGAGGCTTCTTGGGGATTTCCTGGGGGCCTCTTGGGGACTTCTTGGGGCCCCTTGGGGGCCTCTTTGGGGCCTCTTGGGGCCTCTTGGGGGCGGCTTGTGCCGTCTTGGGGCGCTCTTGCGCCGTGTCGCCCCTTCGGAGATCGTCTTGGGGCCCCCCCGCGGCCGCCTTGGGCCATCTTGGGGGCCTCTTGGACGGTCTTGGGGGCCTCTTTGGGCCGCCTTGGGGCCCTCACGGGCCGTCTTGGCGCCTTTTCGGGGGCTTCTAGGGCTTTTTTGGGGCCATTTTGGAGGCTGCTTGGGCCGTCATTGTCTTCTCAGAGTCGAGGAAGGCGAGAACGCCAAAAGCTTCCCAACACCTTAGGCAAATCAATGATTCTGGCCTCTGGGGGCGCTCTTGGGGGTCGTCTTGGGCCCCTCTTGGGGCGTCTTGGGAGCTTTTTGGGCGGTCTTGGAGCCATCTTGGGTCGTTTTGGGGCCGTTTTGTGGCTCTCTCTTGTGCAGCCTTAAGCCATCTTGAGCCGTCTTGACGCCCCTTGTGGGCTCCGAGAAGGGTCTAGATGCCCAAATCAATGATTTCCATTGGTTTTTGTAGGTTTTAGCATTCGTGCACGAAAGGGTCGGCGACTCGGCGGCGGCCCTGGGGGGGATTAAGGTGGGCTGCTTTGCAATTTATACTAGTGCAATGTTTGGCAATTGCCCTTCCTTGGCGCATCGTGGCTGGGCCCTTGCGTCACACACCCGTCCTGTCGGACTGCCGAGACGCTTCGCTGCAGTCCGGACGTGGATTCATTGGCTTACGCCGCGCCGACCCTTGGGCGCGCCTGCTTCCTCGGGGCGCGCGCGAGCAGCTCGAGCCCCATGGAAGCAGGCGAACCGCAGTCGCTTCTCGAGGAGTGAGAAGGGTAGGCGTCGGAGGCGCAGTCGTCCAGGCAAGGTGGCCGCTGCGCTAGTGGATCGCATCGTCGAGGAGGTTTCCTCCCCTCCAAGGCAGAAGGACCAGCGGCTTCGTCCAGGCCGCCCCGCAGGAGCGGAAAGTCCGACGAGCGCCGAACGCGGCGCGAGTTCAGGTCGCGCAGCAGCCGCAGGAGCAGCTCGAGTTCACCCTCTGTCGGGCCCTCTGTTGGCCCCGGGGCGATTTTTCGCGGCGCCCGCCTCCAGGCGCGACGGGGCCGCGCGTTCTGCCGGGGGGGGGGCCGGGCGAGGTCGCGGAGCGCCCGCTGGCCAAAATGAAGACCCACCTGTGAGACGGAACTCGAGGTGCAGAACCCGCGCGACCCATAATGCGTTTGCGCGTGACCAGCGTGAACCTCCGTTGTCTCTGGGGGGAGCTGTCGCCCCGCAGTGAGCAGGAGATGCGGGCGTTTGGCGGCAGCGCTGTCAATGCGGACCTCGGGGGGCGCCGGGCGTGCTGGCCCAGCAATGAGCGGCTGGCGCTGCGGAGGCGCCAGGAGCGACGCGGCCTACCGGGGGCTGGCTTTTTCAGGCGCAAGGGCGCAGGGGCGCCGCGCGCGCAGACGCTCGCGGGGGGGCCGCGGGGCAATGGCGCCTCGCCGCGCATGTCGCCGCCCCCCGGGGGGCAGTCAGAGCCCGGGGAGGTCGTCGCCGCGCTGCGAGAAGGGGCGCGGCTCAGCCGTGCTTCGCGCCGCGGCCGACGTCGAGGGGGATCGGCGCTCGCCTTGCGAGGGGGGTCAACGCCGAGAGCAGGTCGAGTTGTCACGCGGTCCCCCGCGAGAGGCCCAGTTCAACCGGCCTGTCTTGTCAGCTGCCTTTGGTGGGGCGGCGATAAGGGGGCGGGCGGGGGGCGGGGTCGCCCCCGAAATCGGGCCAAACGGCAGGGGAAAAAGCGGAGGCAAGGGCAATGGCAAATGCGTGGGCGAGAGGAAGACGGGGTCGATCAATGGGGGGGTCGCCGCACTGGCGGCTCCAGCAGAGGCAGGCGGCCGCGGCGAAGCGAGAGGGCGCGCGCGGCCAGAGGCCACGCGAAGTCAACTGAACCTTCATTCAAATGCTGCGAGCCCGTGCCGGGGCTTCTGTGGAGTGTCCTTGGCGCCTAGTTTGCATGGGGTCAGGTTCTTCTGGTTAGTGGCGGGGCGGGCTGAGGCGTTCTCATAGCTCGACCGCCGCCCTGCCCGCTGCTGCGACCGCCGCGCTCCGGGCGAAGAGGGGCGTGAGCTGCGCCGGGGAGGTCGCCCAGAGAGCTGAGGGCCCGTCCTGGGCGAGGGCGCCCCCGGGCTTGCCGCCGCGCGGGCGCCGCGCCTTGCTGCGCGTCCTGCAGCGCCGCGACGAGCGCGTGCAAGGGCGGCTCAGGCGCCCCGTGCGCGCCCTTGCTCCGCTCGAGACGGCCCGAGTCAGGCCCGAGCTTGGCGAAGTCAGGCGCGAGCCCGAATCCTTCCTTCCGTTGGCGCGGGGCCTCCTGGAGAGGTGTGGTCGCCCCCCTGCGAGAGAGCGACCTGCTGCAGGCTGGGCGAGGCCATTTGCCAAACGGTTGTTCGGGGTGCCCGGGGGCCGGGGGCGGTCGTCTTGGGGCCCCGCGGCAAAGGGGGGGGGTTTGCGCCGGGCCATGACCCTCGCGGCGACCATCTCCGCCCTGGTCGACTTCGACGGTCACGTCGCATCCTTGCTCTACTTTGCGCAGTGGAGGTGTGGTTTTCGTGGCGGGACAGGAGCTGGTCTGGCCTTTCGACGACTTGACGGCGCCTTCTACCTGGTCAAGTTGCCGACCAGCTGAGCGCCCTTCTTCGCCTTCGACTGCTGCTTCTCCTCCGGTGACCTCGGCGTAGAGTGCCCCTGGCCATGCAGCGCGTGCCTCGGGGCCGTCGCCATGCCCATGGGGCACAAAAACGCGATGTTCTGGGTGCAGTTCATTCACAGGCGAACGTTGGCCCTTTCAGGCAGATTACCTCCAGGTCTTCCAGCCCCCAGGGAGATCCGCAAGGTTGGAGCCGTGCCTGCCCCGTGGGCAGGGGCGCCTTGTGAGAGCTGTGGCCGGTGTGCTGCGACGACGCCGGCTACGCTCATCTGGTGGAGGTGGCTCCAGGTGGAGGTGGAGAGCTCGCGACCCACCCGCGACCTAAACCACGTTCACTGAACAAACCAATGCCGCACAAGCGCGGCGGCGGATTTGTGCATGCCGTCTGAGCCCGCAAGGACCTCTTCAAGCCCCGCGCATCCACACCAGCCCGTCCAGCAACTCTGCCCTGGCGAGGTGCCTTGATCAGAGAAGGCGGGGAGCATCAAGTGAAACAAAAATATTGCGTTGCAGTTATCTTGGGAAAGGAGGGGGAGGCAGGAGGAATAAACAGGGGACGAGGAGAACGCGGAAGAAGAGAGGATGTAAGGATAATGTGGAGAAAGAAAAGGAGGAGGAGCAGG